GGAAAAATCCAGTTCTCTTGGTTCTGGGTCTTCTGATTATTGTCAGTGTTCATCAGCTTACATCTTCCAGTATTTAAGTTTTTAAAATATTTTTTTTCCTTTTACAGCTTTCTAATCTTTACTGCTTTGGGGGCCACATAAGAAATAATGGTAAAAAGGAATTCCACTGATAATTATTGAATTAAAGTAACTGTGGAAACATCAATCTGAGGTCTGAAAACAGCATTTGGAATGGTTTAAGACAGTGGTATAGATTACCCGAAAGTAACTGTGGAAACATCAATCTGAGGTCTGAAAACAGCATTTGGAATGGTTTAAGACAGTATAGTCTTAAATCTATAAGATGGTATAGATTAAGATGGTATAGATTACCCATCACAAACAATCTGTCTTGCTGAACAGAAATGTCTTGTGCTGTGAAGCAACATATTATGTATGGAAGTGTATAGAAACAAACAAATGAACCAGAAATTAACAAAAAACCTAGGAAAAAACTTCAACCCAAAGGAAAAAAACCTCATAAGGGAGGCTCAGCCTACTAAAAGTAGCAGAGATTAAAAGAAATAAGAATGCTCATCCTTCAAATCAAATTTCTTGAGTCTTTATTTTATTGGAAAATTAAAAAATACTTGTCTGAATGCAAATTTTTAATCCCTGGGTTCTTTTTATTTTGTTTGGTTTGAAAATGCTGTCTGCATTCCTTCTGTATTTTGTACAGCTCTGAGAATATATTAAAAATATGCTGCTGTTTAGGATCATATTGAAAGGTGACAAAATATTTAAACTTTTTTTAAATTTAAAAAGTTTTTCCAGAACTTAAGTTCACTGATTTCTGAAAATTTATCAGATTGAATTTACTTGTTCAACAGTTACCATTTTACTTTGCTTGCTTCAAAATGTGATCTACAAGTTGTTTAAAAAATAGATTGAAAAGTTATCTAGTTTAATTACAAAGTAATTTATTCAGGTTTATTCAGATGCATCTATAATTCCAAAACCTTGTAGAGCCATACAAGGCAGTGATGACAGATCTACTTGTGCTTTTTATTCCAGCTCTTTCCAGGGCAGAATGGCCATTAGAAGCAAAAATTCCTTTTAGTCTAGGGGCTTATGGACCTATTTTAGCTATCTAATATCAGAATAGACTTCAAAACTCACAGAGGTGTAATAAATAAGTTATGAGGCTCTGATGAACTCTCAGCCAATGCAGATACTTTTCAAACTGGACCTGAACTTCTGTAATACTCTGGGTATGTCCATCTGTTCTTAAGTTATTGTATGTTTCTGTAGTGAAATATTCTAACAAAAGGTTTTTTTTGTTTCTTTAGAACAAAGTTATTATATATGCTGGAAATGTTAGAAATATTTTTTTAGTAATTTCTAAAACAATGTTTTTACTAGTGAGCACTTATTTAAATAGATCATCTGTCCTGTATCAAATTCTTCCTTGTTTGTTGCAGTGAAGTGTTGCAGTACTCAGGGATGATAAAAGTAGCTGAATCCAAAGCTTACAGGTGGATATGTATTTTAAAAATGAATGTGTGAATGAAAAAAAACCCCAACCAACAAAAGCCAAACCACAAAAAACTCCAAAGAGGGGTTGCTGTGTGTATATGAATGCGAATTCCCTCATCATCCAAAAGCCAAACCACAAAAAAACTCCAAAGAGTGGTTGGTGTGTGTATATGAATGCGAATTCCCTCATCAAGGAGAGTTTTGAAAACATCTTTGTATTCCAAAATCAGAAAACTGAATCAGACCCATCAAGTTACTTGCTGCCCATGGCAGTAATCTCTAGTTTGAGTCAGTTCAGCTACAGAGTTTAGCAAGCCTGTGTGGGAGAGCTGAATCTCCTCCGCGGTGTGCAGTAGGCATAACTGTACAATCCAGCCTTCTTTAAAAGCACGTTGGCTTTTCTTAAAGCGGCCCTTTTCTTCTGTAAACCACAAGTGCTCAGCTATACAGCCTGCTTTGAACAGCTGCTCCTAAATCTCCTGTGACTGAAATCTTTGTTTCCCCCTCCTAGATTTAACTACAGTTGCATTCCTTTTTCAGTTTCTGATTGAAGATTCCTAGTAGGAGTTGCCACGAAGGGAAGACAGTTTGTGACCTCAGATCGGTGGAGTGTATTGATCTGCCACGAGCGCTGCTCCGTGCGCTGGCTCCTGCTTCACAGCGACGTGGCGCTTCCCTGGCAATTCAGCCACCAGCTCAGCTTGCACTTTACAACTTCTGTACTTGCAGGTTCTAAAGTCACTGCTTGACAAGGTGGTCTTTAGGTGAGGCTGGTCTCTGGAAACATCCTGTCTACATTAGTATGGAGCTAGGAAAGCTGCTTATTATTCATAGTATTTTTTTATAGCATAAATGCAATTTCCTGTAAGTTTCCTTCTCTGAAGGTTTGGTTCTAACACATTATATTTTAGGTGAGGAAAGAAATTCAGTCAGCTGGGGAAAGAAGAGAATTGGGGTTTGGTTCACTTAAATGCTGTTGTATTTATGCAGATGTCTGCTATTCACTATATTCTGCTATAATTTTTTTAGAAAAAGTCTCTTTTCTAATTCATAAACCAGTCTTGTTTTATAAATTATACTTAAATTGTACTGTTTCTTTACACCTAGCAGAAACATTACTAATGTATGGAGACCAGTGCAAAAACTTAATTTACCTCTGTAGCCAGACACTTTTTCTTTGTAGGCAGAAGATGCAAGCACTCCTTTTAAAGAAGCAGCAGAGATGGGCATGCAGCAGTCAACACAAAAATCCTTCTAACTGCACAAGAGAGACACTGCTATTTATGATGCAGAAACGTTTTACTTCTCTTTTTTAAAAAAAATAAATGTAGTTGCTATAGAGATATCTGAAACTCATCACTGTCTCTAGCTACATTCTGTGACCTATTATTCCTGAGGAATAGTCCCCAAAGCATCATAACAATTGGTTACAATTTTCCTCTTCCTAAAAATTGCCCATTCCCTCTGCATGAATTGCTCAAATAAAGGGGTTGTCTGCAGATGATCTAGGCATGGTTGTAGGAAGTTATTTTGCCACTGGCAAAACTGTTGCTGTATGAAGAGAAACCATATATCTGAGAAGCTATTTTCTGCCTTTGTTCTGACTCTTTGGCAACCAGGAGACTCTATCCACTGATGCAACTTCTGATCTCAAAATGCTCAACTTGTCAGTGCCTTGCTCTGCAGTGCCGTAGGGAAAGGCACAGTGCTTATTCCAAAGTGTGAAGAGGGATCCAGTTACCAGGTATGGTATTTCCATTTATTGTTGTAAAAGCATATTAGCATATGCAAAATAACTCGTAATTAAGAAAATGCTGGCAAATGTGTTGCTGGTCATAAAATGAAAAAAAAAAGTACATCAGCTGGTCACAGATAAAAGAGCTTACAGGAATCGAACTCATGCATTACATAAACACATGTTTATAAATTTTGATTAGTGGCATGTTAAAACTACCGTACAACAGAAGATACTGGGTATTGAGGAGACGAATGGGAGGTATCTGGGAGGAGAATTGTCTGATATACAATTGCTGGAATTAATTTGCTTTTCAAGTTCTTGTAGCTTGAGAAAATGTTATGATGCTAACTCTCAAACAAGCTTGCGTTGCACCTCTGTGATTCTTGCAGGAGAAATTTACAGCAGGACATAGGGCAGCTTGGCATGGATCTATCTCCACTTCACACAGAGAAATGAAGCCCCATTAATCTGCTTCTCCTTAACCTCTGTGGCTTTTTATACCAGTTCATAATGAGGACTCTTTTCTATAAAGGCTTCCAATATGGTACAATGACACATTTCATGTCACTAACCCACCTGAATGGACACTATGTAATCTCTTTAATTTGGTGTTTGTTTGCACAGAAGAACACCATTTTTATGAATAAAGCAACCAGCCCAAGTAAAACTTGTTATGCAGTTATAAAAGAGATGTAAAAGGGTAAATAATGTAGGGAAGAAAACAGCAAATACCAGAGACAAACGTCTAACTACCACTGTAGTTTGATATATAAATACAAATATATAGAAATTAATTTCTATTTCACTTGCCTATCAGTTCTGTTTAATATAGTATTATAATATTTCAGTGCTTTATAATGCTAATATACTGAATAAAAAAGTGAACTTAGAGAAATCTATTTTAGTTATCCAATCTGCATTTTTCAGTTCTGAGTCTTTAGAATTCCCTATCTAATTGTATATGCTGCCAACCCAATCCCATTAATGTTCCTCACACCTTTGATTTCAAAGTAGGCATCTGTTTTTAAAAAAGCTGTAAGATTACTTTGAATCTGTTGGCAGATATGTATGGATATTTCTGTGAGTTCAAGATTAGTTGGTGGGGAAGGAATCTTCAGTTTCATATAAAATATTTACTTGACTTAGTGAAGCTGCTCTTTCTAGCTCACATCCTGCTGTACAGGTGTACTCTAGACTGAGAACATGGCCAGAACTAATGGGGGCTCAATTATCAATACCATTCCCTCAATTCAAAGTACTGGTTTGTGACATTATCCTGCAGACTCTCTAAATTTCATGTTTGGTTGTGAGTGCAATGAAACTATGGCAATAAAAAAACCAAACCAAAGGCGTCTGAATTTTATACCTGTGCTTTATCATACAGCTGCACTTTAATTTGTCAAAAATCCTTACCCATGAAATGAATGCTGTTCATATACAGTCTGAACTTGGGTTTGTCACTTGCAAATAACTGTGTTTTCTTTTACAGACTCAGAATGTAATTGTGCCAATTCAAGAGCATGGCAAAGACCTGGGCAGTGTTAATTTGCAGGCCTGGTTCAGGACATCTCCAAGTGTTCCAGGGGAGGTGAAAAGGAACAGGTGAAGCTATTGCAATGCAAAGCAGGTGGCAGCAGGAATAATTACCTTAGCTGACTGCCTAGTGGTTCTGTTTGCTGAAATACATTAAAGGGGTGGGGAGGAGGGTGGGGTATTGGGACTATTATTTTTAAGTTCTGTTTACCTGAGTGAAGAAAACAAAGTCCATCATAGTTTTGTGCCTACTTTAGGAGAAAATAGGCATGGTAGTTTATATTTGTTGAAGGTTGTTTTGGTTGTAAGATGGTGCCTGTGATTTAAAGGAGCTATGTAAGTAATGATTTTCATTTTATTTCACTGTCTGCATTCTGCTGTAGATATTTCTCCCCACTGTATATTTCTCTCTTGTTTTAGGCTTCACTTTGAGCTTTGTGACCCTTTACCACATCTGTAAACTAATAACTCAGATTAAGTAGCTGAGTTCTTATGTGTCCTATAATTTGGTAAGTGAATTCATCAGCCAAATTCTGGTTTAGGAAACCTCCTCTCGTGTCTGCTTTTTGGGTTTACTTGCCTCTTTATTTGTAAATGTTTACCATCAAAAATCACATAAAACATAGGAAGGCAGATTACAGTTGGTGGATTTTGTTGTGAAGTTCTAAGAAAATAAGCCCTGATAAGATGAAATAGAAGGCATTGTTTTTTATTATAGAGTGGAGGGATTCATTCAGGAAAAAGTAACCTCTAAACTGAGGGGGGGCAATGTTATTTAGAACTGGAGCGTGACTTGGCACTCTGCTGAGGGTAAGTCACAGTGTATTGATGCAACGCGGCAGGAGCAGATTGGAGAATCTGACTGCAATCTCCTTTCATTTACTGTCATGCTGGGTGAATAGGGTAAAACACCAATTGCTTATATGACTAAGGAATATTGAGAAAGTACTGAATGAATTTTACCTGTCTTCCTTAGCAATTTAGCTGCTGGAAATTATTGCAAGCTAGTATCATAAGATCAGTTAGAATGAAGAACTGTCATTGGAGAACATCTGTGTTTAAATGATCAAGCGGTGCTTTCATAAAGATTTTTTAGTTCTCGTGCCACATATATTTGTGTGAGTAACCATGAGCAGTAATAACATAACAGATGTTATTTATTTTTTTAAAAGTTAAGGAAGTGGCCTAGATGTGGGACTTTTCAGTGAAGAGGTGATACACTCATAAAAAATGGAGGGTGGTACACTGCTGGCATATCTGAAAGGCTAGACAAGTCAGCATACTGCTTTAGTGTCTGGAAGAGTTCCAGGTTTAATGAGCATTTAAGCTCCTTTCTGCTGTGGGAACTGCATAATGAATACCGACAAGCCTGTGTTGCAGGTTGGCTGACACAGCTGTCCTCAGAATTCAAGGGCTTTCACAGTTGCCCATCCCTCAGTTCTTCACTGTTTTTGAGTAACTCCCTGGCCCCAGACTCAGTATCCTTCCTGATAAAGCAAGTCAAAGACTTGGAAAATTGCTTTCTCGCCACTTCTGAAAGTGATAAAGTGTAGTGCCATCTTAAAAACAAAAACCCCTCCTGCATTTCAGTGTTCTGTGCATAAATGTCGATCTTTGTTATGTACTGTTCTGTACATGCATTTTTGGGGAGGAGAGTAAAGGAAGTTCAGAATGCTGCCATCACTGAATAATTGTGGAGTAGACTTCTTTTACTGAGCATAACTTTGAACACAAGTGAAAGGAACCAAGTGTGTTGCACAACACTGCTCTTTGTCCTTATACTAACAGCAAGTAAAGCTGTTTTAAAGGAGTATGAAAGAGGAATATCCAGGGTAGCTATCAGATGAACTATGATGGTTTCTTGCTATGTTTGTATATTCTGTTAGGTAGTGAAGGCTCAATGGTCTCAAATGAGCATGAGCCTTCAGAGAAGAATTTGTTATTCTGCAGAGATGACTATAGGGAGAAAAGTTTCACCTACAATGAAATAGAGAGGAGAAATATTAATTTTTATTTTAGTTGGGCAGGGAGCACCATGTAAGTCTGTGGATGCCTAGGTGTGGGTTTTGTATGTCTTTAAGACAAGTTGCTCAAAATCTCCTCTTCAGCAAGAGATACTTCATTGTGTACCAAACCTGACCATCACTGTGAAGAAAGAGCTCTTAGAGGCACCTGAGATAATGAATTACTTACAGGAGCCAGCCCTAAGGTCTGGCAGTATGATTCTTCCCTGGTTCAAGCCTTCCCTAATGTTCTGTGCACCTATTATTTTCAGAGCACAAGCTGAAACTCTCTTGAAGATTATATAATTTAGTTCAGACCAAGTTTTAGAAAGAATTTGAAGCAAAATCTGTGATGTAACATTATGCTGGGTTTTTTTAATAACACTGTCAGAGCAAGTAAATAGTAAAATGTATCTCATAAAAGGTGGATCTGGATCAGCTTTGGAAGGTGAGACATCTAAGGGGTTTATGAGGATAGCGCCTGTAACATTCAAAGTACGCTTCTGGAACACTGGGTCACCTTAGAAAACAGCAGGTGGTAGCAAAGTTAGTTGATTGTGTGACACTTAGAGTGCAAGAGCTTCCTTTGTGACTTGGAACTGCATTTGCTTTGGACAGAAATTATTCTTGAGTGTTTTACTGTTTTGAGTGTTAGGTGGTTGGTTGTTTTTTTATTCAGCATTATAAATCATGTTTGGTGTAGGCTGGAAAGAACCTTTGGAACTGTCTAGTTTGATCCCTGATCAACTTGCTTATTTTAACTTTGCAGTGAGAAAGAGTATGTAGCTTTTTGATCTGGTTCAAAATATTTCAGATAAAATGTACTCAGCTCCAGACAGCTTCAGTAAGTAGTGTGACTAATTCATTAACAATACCTCCATTTCACATTTGCTTTTAACTTTCACTCCCACCAGATGACAAAAGAAATTAGAGGTGTGAGAGATGAATTTCTGGACTTTCTGCTGGGAACTCTCTTGTCCCCAGTGTTCCAGACTGTAGTTTTGTAGTTTGATCTGGACTGGCTTTCATGTTTCCTTCACTCTATTAGTGATGCCATTTCTCACATGAGAGCAATAACCTTCACAGGAGAAATTCAGTTCATGAATTGTTCTCAAATCTGAATCCTGCAGAGTTAAACTCATGTTGGGTAGCCCTGTGCTTCTCCTTCAAGCACTTTGAGGCTTACTGATTGAAAACACTTATCAAATTGAGCTAAATTAGTGTACTACAAATTTGGGATGCTCAATTTAGCATTACTGTGAAAAATCCATTTGGGATAATAGACTTTGCCCCAGGGATTTGGAAGAGTCACAAGGAAAAAAAAGGTTTGGTCTTGGATTGCTAATTAAAAATCAGTAGCATTGGGAAAAGTTTCATGCTTCAGTCTAATTTTTGACAAATGTGAATCACAGAATAGCCTGAGCTGGAAGTGACCTATGGTCATCAAGCCACCCAAAGATCATTAGAATCCCACTCCTGACCCTGCACAGGACAGTCCCAATAGTCGCACCACGTACCTGAGAGCCTTAAGGGGTGTCGTGTCCAAACACTCCTTAAAATCTGTCAGGCTTGGTGCTATAATGGAAAAGTTTCATGCTTCAGTCTAATTTTTGACAAATGTGAATCACAGAATACCCTGAGCTGGAAGTGACCTATGGTCATCAAGCCACCCAAAGATCATTAGAATCCCACTCCTGACCCTGCACAGGACAGTCCCAATAGTCACACCACATACCTGAGAGCCTTAAGGGGTGTCCAAATGCTCCTTAAAATCTGTCAGGCTTGGTGCTGTAATCACTCCTCTGGGGAGCTTGTTCCACTGCCCAGCCACCCTCTGGGTGAAAAACCTTGTCCTAATATCTGACCTAAACCTGCCCTGACACAGCTTCAGGCCATTCCCTTGAGTTCTGTCACTGGTCACCACAGAGAAAAGATCAGTGCCTGTCCCTCTGTCTTCTCTTTGTGACAAAATTGTAACTGCAGTGAGGTCTCCCCTCTTCTCCAGGCTGAACAGATCAAGTTATGTCAGATGCTTCTCATATGGCTTCCCCTTGAGACCCTTCATCACCTTTGTTACCCTCCTCTTGACTCTCTAACAGCTTGGTATCTTTATATTGTGGCACCCAAAACTGCCCCCAGCACTTGAGGTGAGGCTGCCCCAGAGCAGAGCAATCCCCTCCCTTGCCCAGCTGGCAATCTGACCTGATGCACCCCAGGACAGGGTTGGCCCTCCTGGCTGGGAGGGCCCTTGTAAAGCCTATTAAACTTGCCATTGACTGGGACCCCCAGATCTCTTTCTGCAGTGCTGCTCTCTAACCTCTTGCATCCTAGGCTGCGCGTGTGTGATAGTTTCTCTAGATCAGTTAATGCAGAGAGATATGAAGACTAAGGAGGTCTGTTAAGGTGTCTCTTCTGATACACTAGTCTTGTACTGCCTTTGAGTCTTGCCTTTCTTTATAGATGGCCTGAGCTGAAAAATGGGATAGGTTGCAGAACACAAGGCTGTTGGTCTCCAGAAGGGCTGTTAGGTTTGTAGATCACTGGTGTTTAGAAAAAGGATTTTATTAACAATTTAACAATATAAAATACAGCTATAAGACATTGAAATACTAATGCCAGAAGAAAAAGGTAAGACTTTGCAGTAAGGTGTACAGTCTAGAAATTGCAGTCAAAGATAGTTTTCATCCACCATTTCTAAAGGCATCTTAGGAGCCCTTTGTATTTTGTGTATTTTAGCAAAATTGAGCCTATCTAGGCGTGCCATTGCCCTTTGTTAATATGCAGAAGGGTTAAACAAAAGGAAAAGAGAGAAGGAAGTGAACACTTAAGACAACTTTGTGTAAGGAGACAATGGAACAGGGCTATTATTTAGGATACCATCTAGTTGCAAGAGGAAATTATTTTTGTGCATACTGTGATGGGAGTGGGAGAAAAAGAAGTCTCAACTTCTTTATCCACAAGAGCCCTCATAAATCTAGAGAATTTATGATAATTGACTTACACAGCAGAGAAATTATGTTCATGATCTAGGAGGCTTCTTCTAGTCTTCATTAGCAGAAACTGTCTTGTATTTATATGATTACTTGGCTTTACCTTTACAGAAAAATAACAATGCAATACTGTTTAAGGGAATATTTGTAAATTCTTGTATAACAAATGATACATATATTCATTTGTGTAAATAAGCCTGCTTCCATCCAGTGTGGGGAACATGAAAATAATTTTATTATCCTCATGCCAGAAAGAGTATTTTGAATTATAAATATATGTAGTAATTATACTATTGATAACTATAGCATAATTTTTCTGCTGTATTAGTGATTTTAGAAATAA